ATCGTTCATTTGTTACCATCAAGAATCTTATAATTACCCTGCAAGTTCTGCTCCGCATTTTGATTTCAATTAAAATACTTTACAACATTATCTTAAGTTTAAGCACATTCCATCAAGAAAAACTTGCACATGGTGATCTTCACAGTGGTAATATTTTATATTTTGGATATTTATCCCAGGCAATGATTACAGATTTAGGGTTATCAGGCCCAACTAACCAAGAAACATCAAGTGAAAATAGCATTATTGGAGTGCTACCATATATTGCACCAGAGGTATTAAATGGGAAACCTTATACACAAAAATCAGACATCTATAGCTTTGGGATTTTAATGTCAGAAACATCAACATGTCAACAACCATTCAAAGATAGACCACATGATCTAGATCTTGCTTTCAAGATCTGTAGTGGCTTAAGGCCTAGTTTTTCAGATAACACTCCAGAATGTTACATTAAGTTAGCATACAAATGCATGGATGCTGTTCCTGAAAAAAGACCAACAGCAAATGAAATTTTAAAAATTATTACTTTTTGGAAAAATGCAATTGAATCTAATATATCTAGTTATTCTGAAGTACAGCTTGATGAATTAGAAAAAATAAAAAAATTTTTTGAGGAAGCAGATAAAAAACCCTTTAATCCTTCAACAATTATGGCAAGCATTCATCCAAATGCTGTTTATACAAGTAGATTATTTAATTTTACAAATCTTCCTCAACCTGTAAATTCCAATAAAGTTACAATTATTAGTAATAATAATGGTAATTATTTAATTTATTGTTATATTTAATCTTATTTATTTATTATTAATGATATTTTAAATTAAATTATAAATTAATACTATAGAATCTAAACAAATTGAATTAACCATGCCAGATTCCAAACAAATTGAATTAACTATACCAGATGATTTCATGAATAAATTTCATTCATCTGATTATTGAAATTTTCACATTAGTTTTTTTTATTATTATAAGGAAGTGTTAAATGGTGAACAAACACTTCTTATTATATCAAAAAAAAATTTTTTGATGATTATATGCTATCTATTTTAAATTAAAGCAAACCCTCCTTATAATTTAACCAGATTGAAGTGACCTACCATCATGACTCTTATCATCATTTAGTATTATTTATTTATTATTTTATTAGTATTTTTATATTCAATATTTATATATACTGTTTTTAACATTTTTATCATCTATGAACACTACAAATAATAATAATAAAAATTGAGATAAAAATCTGTCTCACAGTAAATCTCAATAGTTTGTTTATAATAATATGCCAACAATGTTAATACTGTTGTATAATATGGGTGGTTCTGCCCTATGGAAAATTTGGCCACTATTAAAATTAATTCCAGCTATTATGAAAAGTTATTTTGGAATTTTGAATTTGGCAATGATCATTTACTAATTGTATGATCCAAATATCCATTTCAAAGTTGTACAAATTAAATATTTAATTTTTGAGGATGTTGTGCGTTGAAAATGAAATCTACACTCCCCTACAAAAAATATCTGACCACTTGTGCTGTGTAATGTCAAATGAAAAAATAAAGTACGTTTTCTTAAATAAAACCTTTCTGCTATACCAAGTAAACTCATATTTGATATCAAAACTCTCTATATTACGAAAATTTCGAACAGTTTGGTATGGTATTAATGGAAATATTTAACAAATCTTCCAAAAAAGCAAATTTCCGATTGAATTTTACATGTAATAATAAAAGGTCAAATTTTTTTGTTGTAATGTATATTATTACCTTAATAAAACGTGCTTAATGTAACAGATTACATATATTTACAATACGGTGTCAGCATAATTTAGTTTATGAAAAGGGTCTAAAAAAGTATCCGACCACCCTGTAATTTTATCATATAAAACACTTAATAAAGTTGACAAAATGCAAATTTTAAGGCTTTACGTTTCGTTGTCTATACTTGATCAAATTTTCTCAATTTTAACCATATATAATTCAAAATATTTTAAGTGGACTTACTTAATGACATAATCCATGATTCAACAGAGTTTTGAACCTTTTTACTAAGCTCAAAGTTTTCATAAAAATCACGAAATTTTTTGCCTAATTTAAAATTTTCATCCTAAATT